AACAAATTACTAGAATAATTCTGACATTAAGAACAAAGTAAATATATAAAATAAATATAAAACTATTTACATAAACTATCCACTTGAAAAATTTCTAAATATTTTGGTCACTGTCCAAATGTATTTCCTATCTCTGTTATCATAGATGGACTATTAGCAACTAAGTCATCATGATGATTCAAAAAATTCTAGGTGGGGCTGGGGGATATCTCAATGGCAGAACATGTGTTTAGCATGCATGAGGTCCTGGGTTCCATCCCCAGCACTGCAGGAGAAAAAAATTTTGTTATTCAGACACTTGAAGATAAAGCAATCTGATTTATTTTGTAGTGCTATCATGAAAAATGGCCCTGAAGTACTATGAGTTATGAAGTACCACAAAAGAGTACTACAAAAGAGTCCTGTGCCTTCTAAATCAACAGAGAACAATCACATTTACCTCAGTATTTTGGTATGAAGGACATTTTAAATGAAACTTAAATCTCTAAAAATTTGAGAGAGATATAATGTCTTTTTGCCTTTAGCAACACTTGGGTAACCAAAACATTGAAACAGTAATATCAGATACAGAGAGAACAAGAGTATTCTTGGTTCTCAAGTTGCCAAAGTGAATGGAACTATCAAACTAAGGCATTTCAATAGGAACTTAAAAAATGTTAGTTTATGATAAACGGCCTGTCAGGCCTTAAAAACAATAAAAGAAAAATTCCAAAATAAGAGTAAGAGGTAGGTCTTGCTCTATTCTGGAGTTAACATTTTATTAAAAAAATATTTTTATTAGTGCATGTTTGCAGTATGTAATGATTACATTTATTGTGAGGAGTTGGTACATGTACATAACATCTTAATTATTCTGTTTTTTCCATCTCCTACCTCCCTGCTCCCTTGATCTATGTGTGTATAAGAAAATAGTTTTGACACCTTAGACACACACACACACACACACACACACACACACTCACATGCTTGCTTAAAACATTCACACAGAACACATGATAAAAGAAAGACCTTTCAATTGATATATACTACGTTGTAGACAAGGTTCTTGTGGGTTTTACAGGTCTGCTTATGTAGCCAAGGAACTCTCAGAAAAAAATCTAAGATTCTCTCTCTCTCTCTCTAGATAGATATATATATCTATCTATCTACCTATCTATCTATATATATATATATATCTATATTTCATTCATTCAATTAAAGGAGAGAAATATTTTTTCCATGAAAATAGAAGATTCTCGGCTGATTTTTTAAAAACTCTATTTCTCATTTTATTTTAAAAAATCCATTTTAGCAGAAGGCAGTTAGAAAATTATCATCTACCTTATCTTACATCACAATCCCAGATTTTAGTATAGCTATGGCATATACTAACTCTACTTTCTTACTCCTTCCTTCTGGACTATAAAATAATTCTAAAGTTAAATAACAATCTGATGATATTTAAGGGTTACCCACTCTATGGTATGGCATAGAATTCTTTAGAGGATAAAATTCTCATTTAGTGTAAAACTCATACTGCGAAAACATTCTCACACTGTGAAAACTCAGAAAATACATTTCTAAATTGATGTTTCCAGGCAAGAAGAAAAAACTGAGTGTCAAAATGAAATGGAATATTGTTAAGTATGGTCCATAAGATATACTCTGCCATTCAACTCGTTCATCTAAGACTAGTATTACTTACTACTGAACTCTGGTCAGAAGCTTTTCCTGGGCCAGAAAGGAACACAAGGAAACTAATTTCTCTACTCTCTCCCTTTCTCCTGAAAATAAATATTTTGACTTTTAAAGTATGACTTTTAATCATTTCAAATATTACGAATAAAGAAACATTTAAAACTAATTCTTCCAAAGAAGTTACAGTTGCTTCCTCTTTAAAGCTTTAGTTACAATAAAAGCTAATATGGTTGTAATTTATCTTAACAACACACATAAAGAAACCCAAGCACAAAATTAAACATAAAAGATGCAATGTCCTTTTTTGTTCTTAACACATATAGCCTTCAAAATACAAACTAAAGTGAGTAGATTAAAAACAAGATTAACAAAATGTCTAACATGTCAAATTACAGACTCTACTAGTTAAATTCTGTTGGATATAAAACTCTGCTGGTGGCCATATTGGCCTAGATTTTTAATATAAATGAGAGTAGAAATGACAAGAGGTGGGGGAAGGGACTTTCCTTCTTGAATAGTTAAAGAGGGAAATTTTTAAATTGAATGAATCATGTGAAAGAGAAAAAAAATATTCAAAGTCAAGTTCTAGAAAATAACCTCAAAATAACATGGAAATTAAAATACAAGAATAGGACTAGTATTAAAAAGATTTTTTAAAGTTTCTAAACTTTTTTTAGGAAGTAAAAATATTAACTGTTAAATTGCTAAATAAAAATATTTTTTCTTTTTTCCACATACATTTCCTGATCAAAAATTAAACATTAAATTACATGATATGATATTATTAGTCATTATTAGAGTATATAAATAAAATGGCATAATCATATAATTGTCCTGGTCTTTGTGTGTAGGGAGTAATTTAGAATTTTATTAGCACAGACCCTTTAAAATGAGGTTCTAGTTTTTACTAATGTAGTGAAGTCAAATTTGATTAAAAGCTATTCTGTTCAAATTCAAGTTGTTAGAGACTTCATTTTTATCTAATGAAATTGCTGAAAAGAGAGCACTTCTAGAACTTTCTCCTTCAGAATATGTTTTCAGGAATTTTTTATTAGGAACATTTTATAAGCTGATTTATATTAGTTAACTTCATCTTTTTTGTATGTTTGAAAAATAATATTAACTTAAATAATGTCTTAAAAAAAGATTCCTAGACAGATCTTAATTTGTAGTTGCTAAAACTGAAGTTCTGTAAACGTCATTCTAGTCTTACTCTTTGAGAAGAAGATAAAAGCAATTGAAAAGCTCTCAAATGTGAAGATTTCCAAACTGGGTACATTAATCAAATCCTTCCCCTCAAAAATTCAACTGGAATAAGAAATAGACACTTTTTGCTTAGAAAAATAAATGATTAAGTATAAGGTTCCAGAGCTTTACTGGTTTAAATGAATATACAGTAGCAATTCTAAACTAGTTCATTACTTGGTCATTGCTCTGACTGATGCCATATTCACGTGTGAGGGCTACCATGAGTCAATAGATGGCAGTCCATCGCCTGATAAAAGAGCCAAAGATGACTAAAATCACACGCATATTGCTTTTACTCAAGACTGAATATAGCTTAAATGCATACATTTAGATATTGCCCAGATAGTGATAAAGTAATTATTTAATTGTTTAGATAGACTAGTAAATATGAACACATATCTATAAGCATACAAATGCTATTTATACCTGTATGATAAACTCATTATTAATTAACTTGATAACTATAAATTATGTTAGTTACTTCAATATTATTTTGAAAAATTAACTAGGATTTCATATTTAGAGAAATGAAGTTTTCAAACAATTTGTTGTGCCCACAAAATATAAAACATATTATATTCTACAAAAGGCAAATTCATTTTTTCATTTTACCCCAGATTTTCTCTTTACAATGTTCTGAAATGTTAAAATATTAAACCTTTAACTATTTCTACTATTATACCTGAAGCCAAGTTTTACTTTCAATGATAGTTATATAAAAGAACATTGTAAATAATGAAAAGAGTGAGTGGTACTTTTTATACTTCAGATTTTCAAAACCAAAATTCTCTAAATTAGGGAGAAAGCTAAAAGAAATGCACTGTCAAATCTACTAATACATTATTTAAAACATAATGACAAACATACTGGTATATGATTACAGAGAGCACCTCTGTGATCTTGAGAAGTATAAAATATGATCAGATAAAATTTAAACTGTAAGGATTTCACCACATTATATTAGGATAAAAACTGTCATATAAGCACAAACATAATACATTCTGATGAATTACATCTGTAACATATATATATATATATATATATATATATATATATGTATATATCTTTTGAAATAACACTGAAAATTTTAACTAAACTTGATTTAGGATTTGAGGCATAGTTGAGGAATTATGGCTTTCTACTGAAGATCTTTAAATATATTAAAAGGTGATTAACAAAATGTGAAAATAAGCCACCTGATATTATTCCTGTTTTGGGGGGGCTGTGACAGAATGGTGGTATAAGTCTAACTGCTTTTTTACCTTTTATTTCTGTAAGAGGAGAGGAGTAAGAGGACATATTTTGCAAAAACTGTCTTTTCTATTATTTAAAAAGACCTTTCTATATATAAAAACCTTTTAGAATGTTAAGCTTTTAACAACTATTAATTAGTATATATTACATTGTATAACTGTATGGTTAAAAGAAAACTCTCCTAGCACAACACATTTTATACATTAAAAATGACTAGTAGGGCTCTGGTGAATTATTGAAATTAATACTTTGTAATTACTTAAACTAAAATCACAATGAAATGAAAATAGAGAATTGAATAATTCAGTATTAAGAAAATATTTATACAATTCAAATACATCAAGAAGGGCTTAAGATAGGACAGTTATATGAAAGATACATTAAGCTTTTTCTAGCTTCATTTAAAAATGTATAAATATTTCAGTAAAGAGAAAAATGATGATACTGTGGACTGTATGCTTGTGGACTTTGAATGATACATTTTAAAAACACTAGATTATTACTATTTTTTTGGATTCCAGTATATTCCTCCTCCTCAATAAGTTATAGTCAAGGAAGACTGAGAGATACTATGATATAATCATTAAATGATATAAGTAATAAAAAAATCAATCAAAATCTTTTAAGAACAGGAAGATAAAGGATAGGGTAGTAGGCAGGACAGAAGAGAAAAAGTATATTATTGCTTTCTCAGTACACAAACTCTTCAGATGTTTATTATCTTCTAGCAGAAGATGCTTGTCTATATTTTATGGTCAGCAGTTCAGAGAGGGGTGAATAGTCTGGGTCTTGGGGAAAATAAAAAAGGTGTTTCTACTCACCGTTAGGTGATACTGCCTCCAGATTTCTGGGCAAGCCTGGAAAATAAAAATATTGATCAGCTGGGAGCATGAAACAAGGTACTTTACAGCCTGTTGGTTTTGGCATAACCCAGCATCCACCGGTGTCGGTCACAGGAAAATAAGAAGCTTAACAGAAAGGGTCTGCATTTCAGCTTCAAAAACCTGGCTAGACAGTTTAATTGAATTTTACACTGGTTTAACACACTCCCTGCCATTGTCAGAAAGCCAGTAACAAAGTTTTCTCTCTTCTTTTTTCTTTTCAGGTTAGAAGTTTGGGGCACCAAGATGTGATAAAGAGCCATGACACAGCTAAACTGGTAAATAAAAAAGTAGTGGTCAAAATCAGTAAGGCTCACCAAGAATACCGAATTAAAAAAATTTTTTTTGAACTTTGACATATGATAAAAAACAATTTAATAGCAACTGCTTTTATAAAGACCTTATTGTAGTCATATATTTCTAAAATCTGTTGCTATCTTTTATATAACCACTTAGCACACACTTTAAATATTCTGAAAAAGAGAATTTAAAAATGAACAACGAAACTCAAGAAACCAAAGACTATACGTTTTTTCTTAAAAGTTAAATTTTTACACACCAAATTTGTAGAGAAACAACTTTACAAACCCAAAAGACCTCAACAATATTGTAGAACATGGACTTAATGAAATTAAAATAGGTAACAACAAAACAAACACCCATACACACAAAAGACAGTGATTGAGAGATATTTTCTTATAAATAGACCTACATTTTATGCCTACATTATGATTTTGTTAAGGAGACTCTTTTTCTAACCAAGCTGTTTAGATCAGTTTACCATTTTCTAAGAAAATGAACTGTTGATAACAAAGTATGTTTTTTATAATTATACTCTATCAATGATTTTAACAAATGAAATCACCAAACTAATTAAATATCAATTATTAAACTGAATGTATAGCATCTGTTTAGAAATATATATATATGCATGTGTTTGCACAATATATATGTATCTGTACATATACTGTATACATATATCTGTAGATATCCAGATACATACCTAAATGAGTCAAGACTTTAAAACCTTTTCAACCTTTGACATATATTTTGAAACAATTTTTTGTGCTGTCATTCCTTTACTTTTTAGAGTAGTGATAAAACATATCACACAATTAAAAAATAACATGGATATGCTAATAATTCAAGAAATAAAATGTGGCAAGATTTTGACTGGAAATACCACCATAAGTGATTAGATTCCCCCAAAAGAACAACATAAAAGGAATATATTCAAACTATGATGAAAATTTTATCCTTTCTAGAATTTAAGCATATCTATCCTATGTAGTTTTTTAATAGGAAGGTGTTTAATGCTCAGCTTTCCAGTTTTAGTGTCATATTTATAGAAACAAGTGTCTAACTAAAAAAGTCATTTATACACAATAATTTCTAGATGAACAACACTGATAAAAGGAAACTATCTTTAAAAAAGTAAAAAATAGCTTCAGAAGGTAAACGTCATGTGAGTACCAAATGATAGCCACAAAGTAGATTATAAAAGTTCTTAAGAAAACTCAAATGTACATATATCTATATCTATATACACATGTTTATATTAGAAATCTCTAAATACAAAATCTAATGTATAATATAATCTTTCAATACTAATTTCCTACCTTCTATCCTAAGCTTTTGCTGTGTATATATATAATTTGAGCTGGATTATTGTAGAGATAAGCAAGCAGTTATTTATACATTAGTTATGGATAGTTCTTGATTACCAGTGTCCTCAGAATAATACGGTTGAAAAATCACAATCACAGAGTTGTCATACACTGGCAGAATGCCACTCTGCCATGTGACCTTTTCTTGTGTAGCAGCAATTTAGTAATAAAAGAAAGAATTAGTTGGTTTTTGAACAATCATCTGAATGCTCTGTACATGACGATGATGATAATGACTGATATAGAAAATTAGTAGTTATAAACACCAAACTTCTTTTATCAGACAATAGTATTATAATTTAAAAAATCCTACTTGACTATGTCATAAGTACATATTCAACATTTCCATGCAGTTATATTTTACCTTTTTTAATGTTTTTTCTATGTAAGGTTAAAGAGCAGACTTAAACACTGATATAAAGCATACATCTTTATTGCTAAATATATGACATATAACTATGTATCATTAACAAATATTTAAAATATTTAAATATCTAACAATATTTGTCAATCACCACACACATTTTTCTTATCAAATAGAGTAATGTGATACCATATTTATGATATTGATTGCATGGAACACTGAGACAGAATAAAGTAATTCTAAAAAAAGTTTACTATTACAACTGAAATTTTGGACTAATTTATTTTAAAATATTTAAAATGAATGAGTAGACTGCTTTGCAGCTCACCTAAAATGAAAATATAACAAAAATGCAATTGTATTTACTGGTTGCCCTGGTGATCTCACCTTACTGGCTCTTAGATGGATGGCAACCCCAATGGCCTCAAGTCTCACAACTGAAAACATACAAAGTATACTTATACATCTGTTTTAGCAATGTGCTACATTGTTTGCCAACTTTTGCCCAACTATTTTGTATAATAAACCATACATGAATAACTGAGTGTTATTATTCATAAAATTCAAAGATGAATCAACACAGTTTGCCACACTAGATGAATTGAGAGTTTATATTGTGCATTTCAACCCATATTGAATTTTATCAGGTGCTAATTATTGTTTTACGAGAACAACAGCTTAGTGCATCTGTTGTTTAATTCCCACTTCCCTATTCTCAAATGTGAACATCAAAGAAAATAAAACACTCAATCTTAAACAGCCCCTGACAGCAGACCAAGACTCAAGTGCTCAATAGACAAGGCCCTTGCCACCAGTTCTCATATTTCCACAACAATGAACAAACACAAAAACAGCACTAAGCGGCCTTTCCTCCTCCTCAGCTCCCCTTGGCCAGTTGTCTGCCTTGTACTAGAGAGAGCCCTTGAACGCAGCCCTGCTGGGAACACAGCACAGGAGAAAGGATTAGCCTTACTAACATGCTAGCATTTGCAAAAGGGAAGAAAAAACCCCAGTACTGTATTTGGTATATGAATAACCAAAATGTATGAGCTGACAAGAGACCAGGACAGGCCTGTGGCTCCCCGGGAGAAAATGTAGCTGTGATGAGTGACAGGGCTTTCAGGAAATATGTTCACAATCACAGACAGTGAAGGCCATGACCTAGATCGTTTAAGAGCTTGTCTTGTCAAATTATCAAAAGCTTCTTCCTCTCTGAATAAAGAGTGACATAAGTGAGTGTCAGAAAGCTGCAGGCTGACAAGCCAAGCATACAATAACAGAATGCACGTCACATACATGCTGAACACCGCCACTGCTAGCGGCAAATCTTAATGAGAGCGCGGCCAGCCCAGGAGACTTGGGTCCCTGCTGGCACAGCTACTCATCTCACAAAAATCCTTCAGCTCCAAGTCAGTTAGGCTCTGACACGACAACTACAATTATGAAACACAACTTTTTAACAGAATCCTCTGGTGCTTTGTCAAAGCCTCTGTTGTTAGGAGCTGGCCCCCACAAGTCACTGCAGCAAAACAAAAGATTTAATAAAACAAGCAATATTCATTGGTGGTGAATAACATAAATTAAAAAATAAGGAGAACAATTTAGTTTAAAATTTGTTGAATGAAAATATATGCGAAGAAAAGCATTCAGTCTCTGGATTGAACTACCAGATTAACTGTCCCATATCACATAAAGGAATTTTAGGTGTTTTCATTTGAAAGAATGTCCCTACGCTGGAGCCTTGTTCAGCCTTCTTTCTTATCTACTTACAGCTACCAAATTACTTGATTGTTCAAATATTTAGTAATTATTGTATATATTCACTATTCCTCAAACACACACACACACACACAGTCTATGCTTCCAATTAGACATATACGCTCTGAGTATACAAAAAATAAAGTTTTTTTTTTAAGGGAAATTTTGAAGAGAACATCCTACTGCTTGCCTACAATTAAAATTCCACACAAAGATTGCTCTCAGGTCTGAAATCATAGAAATATACAATTAAAATTCAAGATGGTATTGTTTTAAGACTGCATATTGTATTTCTATTTTGTATAAAAATTTGTCATTCTTTCACATACAACAGATATATATGGCAAAGTGTACTGAATCTACATAATTTTTTTTAACCAATCAGTATGGAAATCCACACACTGATCTCTATCTCTAACCTGCCTCCAAAATGAACCAAACTTCATAAAATTATCTTTCCATCCAAGGTCAAATTTTAATCAATCCGTACACTTCTAATCCTCTGTAACCAGGGAAACTGACAAACCCAATTTTTTGCTCAAACATATTTCTCTGATTTTTTCTTAAGTACAGTTATAAGGGCATAATGTTTGTCAGTAGAATATATTTCAATTATGTGAAAATATAATAGTTCCTGTTTTATAAGATACGATATAAAATAACAAAAAAAAACCCAATACAACAAATCTTTCACATATTATATATTTTTTTGGTGGTACTGGAAACTGAACCCAGAAAGTTCTGAGCTACATCCCCATCCTTTTTCTGTTTTAAATTTTGAGACAGGATCTTGCTAAGTTGCCCAGGCTGGCCTTGAACTTTTGACCCTCTAGCCTTGGCCTGCCAAATAGCAGGCACTGCAGGTATGTGCCACCATATCCAACCATATTCAGTTAAGTAATATTACTTATTTTTTCTAAAAAATTTCTTATCAAAGAGGCATAAATTTTTCTGGAGACATCTTGACTGATTCTAGACTGCTAATATATGTTAATTTCACAAGTAGTTGCTAATGTTGTAGTATACAGTGTATGCTACTTGCTGGTTGTTAGCCAAAGGTAATGCAAAGTAAAACAACGTAAGAAAATGAATAAAATGAAGCATAATATAGTAGCTAAAATTAGAGACTCCAGAGCCAAAACTACTGGTTTCAAATCCTGGCTCTGCAATTTACTGTTTTGGACAAGTTACACATTTCTGTGTCAGTTTCTTCATTGATAAAATGGGGATAATGGTCCTTGCACAATGGGCTTTTGTGATGGTGATAAGTATAAAGTCCTTAGGACAAACACAAAAATAGCACTAATCAGCCTTTCTGCCTACTCCTCAGCTCCTCTTGGCTAGTAGTCTGCCTTGTACAAGACAGAGTCACTGAACACAGCCCTGCTGAAAACACAGCACATACATTTTTTTTATGTGTGAAATACACTGATCTTAACTGTATTAGTTATTGCCACAAAGACATCTGTTTGGCCCCCTCCATATTTCTGATGAAGAAACTGGTCATGGAGAAACTGGCATCAATTAGGTAGCTGAAATTATATTGTTTTATGACCATAACATACTTCTATGTATAACATTTGTATGTGGTTAAATTTAGGAGAAGGCAAAAAGTTACAGATTAGGCAAACTATTGATAAGATACAACAGAGATTCCCCCCAAAAAGAATAAACTAAAAAAGATTTTAGTTGGATAGAATTGCTTGTGGCTGCTTTCTTCATAGAAAAAAAAAAGAATGTAGTAAACATTAGATATCACCTACTAAGTAGTGTTACATTCAGCTGACTGAGGTCTACTCAATAATGATTTTATTTATTTATTTGGTACCATGGATCGAACTTAGACCTTGTCCTTGCGAGGCAGGCACTGGAACCACTGAGCTAAATCCCAGCCCTCAATAATGATTTTAGATGTTGAAAAATACACAGAAAAGAATACTGAATCAGATATCTGACCTTGTATTTTACAGTTAAATTTTCAGTACAAAAATATTAATATTTTGATCACTGATGAAAAACAAAGTGCTCTACATGATTCTTAGATACGATTGAGATCCCTTCAATTTATTCAAACTTACTTTATTCCTTTTTCCACAATGTTCCAGCTTCAGTAATAACTTTCCCTTCTTAACACTAACCAGAGATCCATCTCCTCTAAGTAGAAACCAGGAAGAAAAAACTTAGAGGGATAAATCCCTGTAATTCTGGGAATTCATCTAGTTGGTTTGGTAGTGAATACAAAATCCATGTACACAGGGAAGAGATTTCTTATTTCCTGCCTTCTAGCATCTTAACTCTTTTGGAGTTCCTATCTTTATAACTTCCAGCTTATTGAGAACTGCCGTATCTCAAAAAGTGAAACAAAATATTCCTTGGACAACAATAAAAACAAAAATGTATGTTGCTAGCATTCTTCAATTACAACTATCATGAGCCCTTTGGTAACACTCACGGACAGTGAAATTCTGGTTGCTGATGTTCCAAGATATTACATCTAAGTTATTTCTATACTGTATTATCTCCTTAAACTCACTAGCTGCTACCAGAAAAAAAAAATTTATTTGTTTTGGTTTTTTGAGACAGGGTCTCACTATGTAGTTGAGACTGAACTGGAACTCACTATGTATCCCAGGCTGGTCTCGAACTTACAGCAATCCTCCTGCCTCAGCCTCCCGAGTGCTGGGATTACAGGTGTGCGCCACCACCACGTCTGGCTTAAAATTTATATCTTTTTAAAAGCAAATTAATAAGATGTAGTTTGATGTGTACTTTATGCTTTCATGGTTTTGCTGCTGCTAATTTTATTGTCTGATTTTTCCACTAAATCACAAATGAGCAACAGCTGTCTTTTTTTTTTTTTTTTTTTAACTTGGGAACTTGTGCTTGCGAGGCATGTGGCGGCACCACTGAGCTAAATTCCCGGCCCCTCTGTCACTTTTTTTAAAATTAAGTTTATTGGCACATTTTAGGTATACAATACAGTTAATCATTGAGATCTTGTACCTTTACATGATGTATCTTGGTTCTTATTTTTTCCTCATTCCCTTCACCCCCTCCACCCTTCCCTGTTTACAAAGACATTGTTTCCATGTTTTTCCTTTTTTTGTATTTTTTTCTTTTCCCTTTTTTCCTTTCCCCTACCCCTCCAACTTCCTCTACTCTTTTAGACCTTTTTTCCTATTACACAATATCAATTATACATTTTGATCCTTATTTACACTTTTAGTTTTTCACACCAGAGAAACTACACAGTATTTACACGTTTCTTATTAATTTCACTTAAGAGTATGGCCTCAATGTGCATCCACTTAGCTATAAATATTTCTAGCTTTTTGTTCTTTTCGGCTAAGTAGTACTCCATTTTATTTAAAAAAAAAAAAACAAACCCACATCTTCTTTATCCAGTCTCCAGTTGATGGACAACTGGGCTGTTTCCAAGTTTTAGCTATTACAAATTGTGCTGCTATAAACACAGGCGAGCATATATGGCTGTAGTATGATTCTTTTAATTCTTTTGGGAAGATACCCAGGAGGGGAATAGCTGGGTCAACTGGGACTTCTAATCTGAGTTGTTTGAGGTATCTCCATATTGATTTCCACAGTGGTTGCACCAGTCTGCACTCCCACCAACAATGAAGATGTGTTCCTTTCTCCCCACAGTCCCGCCAGCATTTGTTATTGGTTGATTTCTTGATAGCAGCCATTCTTTCTGGGATGAGGGTGTTATCTTTTTTCCTCAGAATCTTCTAGCCTCTAAAGATTTCTCCTTGCCTTCTGGCATTTAGTATTACACAGAAGTCTGATGTAAATATGATTTTGTGGGTGTGGGTGTGTGTGAGTGTATGTGTGTATTTCTGTTTGGATGCTTATTATGACATCTGTCTGAAATTCAAAAACACTAGTTTAGACATGGGTCTTTTTCTCTCACATATTCACTCGTTCATTCATTCATTCCAGTATTAGTTCTCATCAAACTGTGTAGCCTGGACTTAACACTTGTCATCCTCTTGCCTTAGCTTCCCAAGCAGCTGGTACAGGCCTGCACCACCACATTTTGTGGGTGTGTGCTCTTTTGATCAGAATTTCTTCCAATCGTTTGTGAAGAATGAGTTAGGGTTTGTTTTAATTTTCCTATTTCCTGTAGTACATTTATTTCATTAATTCATAGCCTGGATAATAATATCCTAGAATTTGTCCTTAGCAGAGGACTAGGGAATAAAATTCAAGACTACAATATAATTTTAAAAAATGAGACTTATGAGTTTGAAATTTAAAATAATTCCTAGGAGCTATTTGCTTTATTTATCAGAGACACACGTCTTCCTAAATGTGATTGCACTGAATAGTAAGTCCATTCTTTGTTTTTTGAGAAAGGGTCTTGCTAGGTAGTTCAGACTGGACTTGAACTCATTACGTAGCCCAGGCTGGCCTTGAACTCCTGGAAATCCTCCTGACTCAGCCTCCCCAAGTGCTGGGATTACAGGTGTGTGCCATCATGCCCAGCAAAAAATTCATTCTTTTTTTCCCCCCTGGTACTGGGGATTGAACTCAGGACCCCATGCTTGCGAGGCAGGAGTGGTGCAGTAAGTCCATTCTTTTTTTGGGGCACTCATTCACCTTTTTTACAGTGAACCATTCCTTCATCAGGAGCCTCAGCCTCTGTTCCTGGAAATGGGTCTCCACCCTCACCCTCAGCTCTCCTGGAGGAAGCCTGTGGTTGGATGTGACCAATTTGGAGGGGGACCCGAGGCTTGGGGATGGGAGGTGTACAGGGTCAGATTCCAGAAGATATATCCCACAGAGGCAGAGACAGGGTAGTCAAGCTCCATCCCACCCAGCAGCTGCGACAGCATCAGGGAAAGACCAGGTGTCCGGAGACATTTCATGAAGTGTCTCTAGGTGCTGTGGGATCAAGGTCCTGAGCTCCACCTTCAGGACTCACTAGCCCTGACCCAAGGTGGCTTTAATGGTGGCCACCAGCTTCCAAAATGTGCCCTCTGTATCCACAAAGCTATCGCCTCCCTTCGTGGAGTGAATCAGCTTCCCGGTTATGGTCACTTCAAAGAAGCTGGTGCACTGGGGCATCCCCTCACCACAGATGGTCAGGCATCCGGGGAACTCACCTTCCAGCTTCTCCTTGAGCTGGAGGACTTGGCCTTGTAGCGTGAAGCACCACAATAAATGACTCGCACCGAAAGGGCCATGATGGCGAGCAGCACTGGCAGCAGTCAAGCAGTTACGTCAGCCCCGCAGCGCTGTTTAGAACGTCCATTCTTAAGCATCATAAGATTCTCACTGAAAAACTACAGTTCACTCATCCTTCAATTTTGGAAGCTTTTAAGTTTTATAAAGCGATAAATCCTTCCTTTCCCTTGTTGGAAGGCAAAGGTCTAAAGAAAGCAAACTGTCTTTATCCTTTGCAAATTTATTCTGTACAGTTTCTATTACAAAAGTAAAAACAACAAACTGCTAGTAAGCTATTAGGTCTATTGCTAGTGACTAATATTAGACAATGAGGATGCACTGTAGGGAGAGATGGAGAGATTTGGGGAATTCTTCCAGTTAGAGATGAAGAGAAAGGAAACCATTTAATAGAATTTCAAAATAAGGGCTGGTTTTTCCTTCAAATTTTAAATGTGCTATGTCATACACCTTCAGCTTCAAAAGTAGAACTTATTTACATAAAATTGCATGTTATCTGTAGTCACAAAAAGTTGCAGAAAGTCATTTATTAAGTGGTTAGGAAAGAGGTCCAGTGATTAATAACTCTTTATTTTGGGATGTACATTACTCACTAAACAGTGAAAACATATGCAACTTTTCTTAACATCATGAGTCTTGTACATATCTATCAAGAAGACAGGAAGATAATTCTTTTTTTTTTTTAATTCGGGAAGAGAATTCTAAGCAGAGAAATCTACGTAACTTTCTTGGGGATATTCTGGTCTCTCAGGCAAATAAACATTTTATAGGCCTATTCAAAAATTAACTCTTATTTAGCAAATCATTTCCATCTATGCCCTGTTGCTCCAACTTTATGTTTAAATAACAACAAGATGTTAAGAAAATTGAGGGAAACAAAGCATATCTGACTCTCCTCTCTATTCTTAAAGGTAAGTGAAATGCTCAGCTATCAGCAGTGCTGTATGTTTATCCGAAGGTGCATATCAATCTATTTAAATATGATTTTGATACTTGAGTTTTTCAAAGATGATTTTTCATTTTCAAAATTATTCCTTATTGATCTGTGTGTAATGGTGCACACCTATAATCCCAGCACTTAGGAGGCTGAGGCAGGAGGATCCCTTCGAGTTAGAGGCCAGCCTGGGCACATAGTGGGTTCACAGCCAGCCTGAACTACAAAGGGAGACCCTGCCTCAAAAAAAAAAAAAAATTCTCTAGCTTCCTTTGCAATGTGCCTTTGTATGTCCAAATGATTTTGTGGCACTCTGTAAAGGAATAAACTTAGGGACAATTAGGGAGGGGCATAACAAAATTTAATTTTTACTTATTTTCTCTTACAGATTTTTATTAAGTAGGTCTGGATAGAAGTCACTGATTTATCTTGACTTCAAATAAATTTAACAGAAAAATTAGTTTGTTCATGATTATTTGAATTTTTAAAAGTTATCTAAATATTAACCTTAATTTATCTTTTCTTGAATTTGTCCTTTCAAGCCACTGAAGATGACACTGTATATTTCATTACAAACTGACAGATAAGAATTTTCCATATGAAAGCTGGCAGTTGATAGACCAAAAGCATCAGACTGTAAAAATACCTACAGTACTCACTTAAAATGGAGATATTTAAGAAAATGCATTTTACAAAAAGCTAGACTACTAAAGATCATGGGAGAAAAATAAGACAAGGATTTATGTTACCTTAGAAATCTAATTTACTTTTGATATACAAATATTTTGGCTTTTTGAAAGTTTGCTGAAACAAGATTTTAAATATTACTAGGGAAGCTTACTTCTTAAATTGACAATGCTGGTGTGTAAGATTCGACAACTCTCAGAAGTTTTTAACTGGAAGCCAGGTGGGACCTATCATCCTAATTCATTTGTTAATTCATTATCCCATAATCGCACTAAAATCCTATGCATGTGAGGTACTATTCTAGAAGCTAGAGATATCAGAGTGAACATGTCTGAAAGCAAGTATGGAGCTTTCATTCTAACTAGAGAGACATAAAAGAAATACAATGTAAGATATGTATTATGGAGAAAAATAAATCACGGAAGAAGATAGGGAAAGCTGAAGGTATGGAAACTTGTTATCTTAATCAGGGAGATCAGACAAGTTCTTCTCTAATAAGGAGACAGCTGAAATAAGAAAGAGATGAGAGAGTGAGCAACTGGGGATAACTAGAGGAATATTCCAGCAAAAGAAGGTACAGGTAAGAACATCTTTAATCTTCAAGGAGTACTGAGGAGACCAGATAGAGTGAAACACAGGGACTGTTATAAGAGCTGTGATCAAGAAGCCAGATTACGTGTGGTCTTGCTGGCCAGTGTAAGAACTTTAGCTTTTACATCTAAGAGAGACGTAGTCATATTTGAGGATTTTGGATGTAATCTGAGATATGCTTGAAAAAGATTAACCACTTATTGAAAACAGAATTTGTTCTTGTTTTTTTGAGACAGAGTCTCACTATGTAGTTGAGTCTGACCTGGAACTCACTATGTAGCCTAGGCTGGTCTTGAACTCACAGCGATCCTCCTGCCTCAGCCTCCCAAGTGCTGGGATTACAGGCATGCATCACCTCGCCCAGCTTGAAAATAGAATTTGTAAAGGCAAGGAAGTAGTAGGGAAGCTGTTCACAGTAATACAGGCAGTTCATGCTCATGGTTTGTGCCAAGATGAAAGTGGCAGAGATGATAAGTGGCTAAATTCTAGATTATGCTTTAAGTCATTCTTTCCAGGGTTGAAACAATGTATTAAAAACTATGATATAACATAAAAGCAGCCTTTCTTACATGGAAGAGATATGGTGAGAATGAAGAAATAGTCCAGGAATAACTAAAGATTTCTTCTTCAAATTGCACTGTTTTCAAAGGCAGGTAAATTGACCCATGTTCAGAAAATATGGACTCTTGTAGATATTTGAAATCCACATAATTATAAGAAAACTCACTCAGCCTGGATCAAGAGTTCCTATGGCATTACTTTGTAACTGATATTTCCAAAGACTCGTGACACATTATTATGATGGGCATAGTTACTTGGGTTCCCCATAGGGTTGTCATTTTCTATATTTTCCCAGTATGTGTCATCAGCACATCAATAAACTTAGGGTCATCTTATACTTTATTTCATTATCAGCATCACAATGTACTCTTTCTTTCT